TCACATTTTCTAACCCGGATTTCGTCACAGTAAGATATTCTCTGATATATTTTATTTGTACTTGTTCTATGCTTTTGTTTGTGTTTGATGTAGTGGCTTATTCTTTGTGCCGTTCTCTATACGACATCAAATTTCGAATACTATTACGCTTGAAGCTATTTTATGCTTTATATGACCTTCGGTGGACTTGGTATCCAAAAAATCAAACTTTTTTAATATAATTTGCCACGCTAAAACTATAGTATTAATTGGATTATTCCTTTGAATTTACTAAAATTGCCACTATTTGAGGCACATATCAATCTTAACAGATAGGTGTATTATATTGATTATTATCATTCCAATTGAATCATCCAATGCGAATTTTTTATTATCCTTAAACAATCGGGCATACTCCTCATCTTTGAATAAAATAATCTGGTTTATTTATACATTACACTTTTCAGTAGATTGAGGGCTATGTAGAAAGGATATTTCTCGAGTGACTTACCATGAACAAACTTGATTTATTGTTACTTTATCAACTTCCTTCACACTACTTTGATAGCTCTTATCTAAGATAATCGGAATATTAGGCAATTACATCTCCCATCAGTCACGTTAAACGTGTTTTTACCAGCTAAATTTTCGTATTGTTTGTTACATTATTCTGAGATCAGTACAATGTATTGTCTATAATGTATACCACTATCGTTTGAATTTTAGGATGATCTCTCTTGGTATGAACTTTTAACAGAGTCATTATCGTTGCATTCATTCTATACGTCAATATATTTCATCTATTTCCTTCCAGTCGGTGGCAACCAACACACGTCTCTTTCATCATCTCATAAACAATTGGAAATTTCTCCCTGCTCCGTCTGACATGCCCAAGTGTTCAATTCTGGAGTTCTCTGTACGTATATTTGCCAAGGCTTCTTATATGCATAATCTATGCATATTTAACTAACCTATATGTTATTTATGTTTACTAATTTTGCGTTTGTTAAAAATCACAAGTAACAATACATTTAGGCAGAACTTTTATTTCACCATAACTATGTAATTTGAGTCAAATATTTTACTATACTACTGCGACTAAACAGAAGGCCACCCTCTTGGTCTTCATATCTATGAACTATACTTTTGAGGTGCCCTAAGGACGACTGTATGTTAAACTACAAACTTTTGAACTAATACTGCATGGTTGATTTTATGCTTATAATTGGAATGCGGACTCAAGTATTGAATGTGAAAAAATCGGGCCATAATCTATTTGCTCTTTGCTTTAAGTCTCATTTTATTTACTATTTTGTTGTACCAATAAATTGCTTCAATTTATTCTCCTAATTGTCTTCAAATCCATTTTGGACATAAGCTACTACATTTTTCCGTGCACAAAACCTCAACTAGAGCGAAGCAGATTTAATTAAAATATGAATTAAATTTTCCCTCGAACTATCGTTCCCTCCGCCCCAAATTCGATCGCATTAAAGATCGAAAATCGTTCACCTTTACTTACTAAGCAGGCTGTTTGCTTATTTCTTATGTTGCAGCTTAGCCTTTATAACTGGGTAATTTTAAAAGATCTCCACTTGATTTGCATAAAACTTGTAAGCTGTTCTGTTTCATTTTTTTGATTTTTTCGTCGCTATTTTATCAAGGTTGACTTCGAGTTCCGATCATTGCTTCATTCCCACTTTGCCATGCTTTTCTTCGATCACGTGGTAACCACTATGGTTAATGCCTTTCTTGACCGTTCTCAGCAGCTTTACGGACTTGAAGCTATTCCGCGCCAGAAGCCGCAGATTCTTAAATACCGCAAATAGCCTTTCTGTGAAATTACCCTGTTTTTTAGATCCATTTATAATTTCAGTTATCTTTCTTGGCCCCTGAGTATTACAAAACATAAATCACAACTGAAGCGTGGTTTTACCTCTATTATCTATCTATCTATCTACATATATATATCTTTCTATATGTATTTGACTTTGCTTAATCCTTATCTCTTTCAAATTACTAAGTACGCCTAGCTTCATTTAGCTAGCTATTCGTCGTGTACAGAGTTATCAATAAATTTGGTTATTTTAACTGAATTGATACTTCTTACGGCAATTCTAGCCCACCTATGTAAAAATCTGCCCTTTGGTCAAGTTATTTGATAATTATTTTTTAATGAATTGGCTTTATGTTTTATATTTTTTAGTCGTTGACTAAGTGTATTTAATCTTATTCTCTATTTAATAAGTAGTATAGAGAATACCTGCGAGGTTCAAATTGCAGTTCTCCCTGGATTTGAATACCTCTTGGGAAGCAAGAAATTTAATGGTACTGTGACTCCTGTGTTGGAAAATGCACCATCAGTTCTTCTTCACTTCAATCCACAAGGTCACTTGAGCTTTTATTCAAGATCTACTACTAGTCTCGAAAGCCTACTCAGTACGAATATAAATAATGTTGTTGACTGTAATG